TTGTATGCAAACCTAAGAGGAAAATCATAAAAGAGTGAGCTATGAAGCCCACTAAGTGGATAATACAATTTATAAATTAAAATAACTTTAACCTTAAACTTGCATTTCATGCAACACATAACCATTCCCTTAGCAAGACGCCACTTTCCTTTTATAATTTCTGAACACAATAAATCCTTAAGTCGTATTCTTGTACAAACCTCCCAGTTAACATAGATCATTGAATTATTTTCATAACAATTGATACGCCCATCATCAAAGCTGAGTAGGCATTTCCCAACACGAAACCTACTCTTACTCACACTAATACCCACCAAGTGTCCACAATTTCCACCAAGCCTGTACTCGTTGGATAATCATAAATTCCACCCTAGCCTATACCTATTGGCTGTTAACCAACTTTCCTCACATAGTTATTACAATCACCACCACCACTACTTCAGGCTTGGTAGATTGATTGAATTGATATTGATTGCTAGAATTAGAGATTGTATTATGTAATCGATCTTTTCCCAATCACGCAATAGCAATTATTAATAAAAGACTATGGATAAACTTTCTATTTTATTACTTGAATAACAAAACCTAAGTTAGTTAATCCAAGCTTGTGAGATTGTTGCTTAGACTAACCTGTTTCATTGGAACTTAAAGCAACCATTTTATTAAATCTAAAGAGCTTGTTCTAGGTTGTTTAATGGTTAGAGACTTTTGAAGGGCATGTTTCATTAGTAAGAATTAAGGGGAATTTCGAGTGATAGAGCTTGTTACTATCTAGGGTTGATACTTCCATGAAAAGGTAGGATTGCATTGCAATTGAGAACATACATTGATTGTGTGAGGATGAGGATGAGATTGAACCGAGAACTGAAGTTGTTTTTATATTGATTTTCATTCATATTTTTTTTTTGGTGATTAATTAGTTACCTTGATTTTACAAACCCCCCAGATTATATTTTGGTTATCTAGGATCTAATTTTAACCAGTTGGAACTTAGATTCAACTACTTCCCTATGGGATCGACCCTTACTCATGCTATCTGTTGGTTAATAATTAGGAGTAAAGTTTATTAATTTTGTAGTGTTGTTGACACGCTGTCAAGGTGGCACCATCCACAATCTATCCTCAATATGGCTAAATCATCACAAGATAACTATACTTGACCCATAATCCATCCTCGGGGTGTCATGATATGGTATCATATAAAAGAATCTCAGCCACAATCTATCCTTGCGGTGTCATGTGTCAACCTCCCACCCGTGGTCTATCCTTGGGGTGGTATCATCCACAGCCTATCCTTGGGATGATATACTTATCACTGGATGACCATACTCGACCCACAATCTATCCTTGGAGAGTCATAATACGGTATCCCATAATGTCCCATTTGGAGCTCTTCAAGCGTCCGTATTATCCCGATAGGAAGCTACCACCATGTGGTAGTGCGAACCATCTCAACACCCGCATAAGGCTAAGAAACTAAATACAAACTAGCTGATGTTTGAAGGAGGACGAGTACTATAGAAGGATGATTGTAGATCCAAACCCAACATACCTTTTCACTCCCAGACAAACACATCCTTACACACTCACTCGCATATTCAACATATCTCACTCCTGAATTTTCTAACCTTTAATGATATTTCATACCTTCGTGTGCGTATTCAAATATGGGTGCCATATAGTTCATAATAATGCCAACATGTACAAACAAGCGTAATGTTTTGAAATACGGACATGTAAATTATCATTTTACCCCTTATATTATTCATTCATTTTACTTTAGTCCCAACATTTCGATTCTTACAGCCAACCCCTAAAATTTTGGATTCTTCGTCATATCCCTACACTTTTAAATCCTTACAAATCAAACCCATGTATATTATCATTCCTTACAATTAACTTACTGAGGATCCTTCCACCTAGAGGTGGGCAGGGACTGGTCCCTTGCGGGCCCAAGCCTAGGCCCGTTTGGGAGTGGTCCCAAATGGGACCAGTCACTCATGGGCCTGGGACTGGTCCTAGGCCCATGAGAAAAACCAAGACTCGGACCAGGCCCTAAGCTTGGTCGGGACTGGTCCCATGGGCCCAGGACCGATCCCATGGGGCTTGGATAATTTTATTTTCCCCCCTCATTTTTTTTTATATTTTGGGGGCAAAACAAAATTTTATAGGGGGTTTTTAGTATTTTTTAGGGTTAAAATTTATAAATTTTTTAGACTTCGAAGATTTTTTATTTTTTTATAAATTTTATAAAATTTCATTTTAGCCCTCATAATTTATATTTATTTTAAAATTAATAGGGGGTTTTATGTAATTTGACAGTGGACTATATTGAAAAAATACAAATTTTTTTGGGCCCAGACCTGGGACCGGGACTATATTGAAAAAATACAAATTTTTTTTGGCCTAGGCCTGGGACCGGTCTTAGGCCCGGGCCTTGGAAGAGGGCCCAATGGAGGGCCCGAGCACTCTTCCTTAGGTCTGGTCCCAAAAGGTCCAGTTCTCTCAAGGACCGATCCTAGGACCGGGTTTTGGAGCTAGGCTTTTGGGCCCGATCCCAAATGCCTAGCTCTACTTCCACCAATTACTATCTAATTCAAAGCCCATAAACCCAATCAACACATCTTGGGTCATATTAAAAATAGGCCAACCCCCTAATTCACCTGAAACTCAAGCAATATAATTTGACATTTTTAATATAATAAGTCCACCAACATAATTAACCCACTAATACAATTAAGTTTATTAACTCTATCAAGCCTACGAATTCACTTAACACGTCTAATTACCCAACTAACACAATTAGGCCTTAATAATAATAATTATCGACCCACCTCAACAATAAACCCAACTTCTTGGGTTTCTCTTACTCAACCACTTCAATACTCATCTTCAACACTCCCGTAGATACCATTTTAAATCGCAAATCAACTTTTCAAACACACAATGACCCTCACCTAACAAACCAAATCATCGGCTCAACAATTTATAATAATAATAATAACAATAATAATAAAATTTGGGATTTCAACTAACAATATCCGAATTCCAAGGAAGCATGCAATTTATAAAATACCATTCCACTCACCACTTTGAAGCCAAAAACCTTGATTCGAAGAAGGGTTTGAAATCCTCTAACAGTGCCTCTACTTGTCTTCTCTTGTTCGCAGTTCAATGAACTCTCCATATAAAGGTTTCTCTATGGTAACACATCAATATTAAACTTATTAGACAACCCACGCACCAAAAGGTTAATTTAACTTCCCCTTTAACAAAAATCGTCTTATAACCGAACGCTGATTGCTCTCAAATTTTTTCATAAAAACTCCACTCAAGTAAAATGTTTCTTTACTCACCATATTTTTCCACTATCACATTTTAGTCCCTCAAATTTAAAAGTTTACACTTAACCCCCTATCTCAGTGACAGGTTTCAAAACTGACAAAATAACCCCTGGAAATCTCGCTGGGGCAAAGATTTTTCTTCGCCACAGTGAAACCCATAAATTCCCAAAACTCTCCAAAAACTCTCTCACCATAGCGAAGACCAGATTTTATCCAAAATTTGGGTTTCTCTCAACCTGGCCGTGTTTCCTCTCAATTTCCTCACTTCCCAATCCATCTCCTCATATTAAATTCACTCCATTAACATCCAAATACATACAATAACTCATTAAGCAACCAAAACACAATTTCATCAAGTCATGCTTTTAATAACCCCAACATCAAAATCCATCTATCTCACAACCATCTCTCAAATCTTCCACAACCCCACAAACAAACCAACCCTTCCAAAAATGGTTGAATTTTCTCTCAATCACACTCCACACAGCACACATACACATACACAAATACAAAACATACAATTATACACTTAAACTAAAACAAATACAATAACACCATAAATTTTCTTAATACAAAAATACTCCACTTACCTATTTGCCCAAAACTTTCTTCTTCCGCCCTCTTCTCCTTTCTCTCATTTCTCTCTCATTTTTCTTTGTTTTTCTTTTGTTCCCCTTCTTTCTCTTTTTTCCACCACTTATTTTGGGTGAACACTGTTCACCCAAATGTCTTAGCAAAGTTTTTTTTGGTCCTCTCTTGTTTTGGCTATTACACTTTACTCTCTCAAAACTTTCAAATTCTTGCACTTTAACCCCCAAAATCTTAAAATAAATTTTCATAAAAATATGGGGTATTACAAGCAAAGATTTAGCTGCCATGTTGCAGAGAGTTTGAGTGATATTAAGGATGAGAGAAGGAATCGTTTTAGGATGTGCCAAGTTGGTGAGGAGGTTAGACAAAATGCAGAAGAGAAGATTTAATATTAAAAAATCTAAAAATGAAAAACAAAAAAGGAAAAAGAACAAAAAAGATATATTGTTTCTGTTTTGAGGATTGGTGACAACTATTTATTAATTTGGCTGGATGGTGATAGTGGTTGGGTGGTGGTGATGGTAGTGGCAGCAGTGGCTAGGTATCGGTAGTGGCAGTGGCAACAGTGGCTAGGTAGCGGTAGTGGCAGTGGCAATGTTAGTGACAATGGTTGGGTAGTTGTAGATGGGGATGATGTAAAGATTGAAGAAGAGGGGTTTTATTGAAATAAATTTGAAAGTAAAAAGATTATTTTCCGATTCTACTAATTTGGGGGTTTAAAAGTACTTTATAATTTATTTGTCAAGGGTATTTTGATAATAACACTTTCTATACTTCATCAAAACCAATAATCATTAATGGAGATAATTTAAAGATGAGAATTTGGAATTTATATAACCAAGGGTGCGAGCTTGCCATTTCGGTAAACATTGGGTAGGAACAGTCGTTTACTTTATGAGTAGTTTCTCTCACTCCCTTAGTTGGCAGGCAACCCTTACTCTTTGATAGTTCTTAGTTACGAAGAAGGAAATAAAGCAAATACAGTGTTCAGGTGCACTTGCTCTTAATCAGTGTTCTTTTTAATTTCTTATTGTTTTATTCTCAACATGTATTATTTTTCTTAGATCTTGTTGCTTGTCATACTTATCTCTTTTTCTCGTAGTGATCTGTGGACTTTTGTTCATTGAACTTTCTCTTGAATATTTGCTTAATTATTCACTTATGGTAATAGATTTCTCTATCTGTTAGCTGTTTGTGTTTCTTTTTTGTTTGTCCTCCTACCTACTGTTAGTCATTGTCAGTGGCTTTACTTTGTTTAACTTTAAAAAAAAAAAAGTCAACAGAGACAAGAAAGAGAAGAAAAATATCACAAGCAATAAGCCATGGCTGCAGAACTAGGTAGCGTTGTTGTTTCCGGTGTTGCATCATCAGTTACTGAGTCAGTCTTTGGTTTAGTTCGAAGGAAGGGATCTTATGTGTTCAATTACCAGAGCTACATTCAGGACTTGAAGAAGAAAACAGTTGAGGAGTTGATAAGTAGAAGAGAAAGGGTGGAAGTATACGTTGACCATGCTAAAAGACAAGGGGAAGAGATTTTTAAGGATGTTGAGCAATGGCTGATTAATGTGGATGAGTTCATTAAACGGGCAGAAAACATCATGAACAAGGAAGATAAAGCAAAGAAGTGCTGTCTCAAAGGGCCATGTCCTAGTTTGGTCAGACGTTACATGCTCAGCAGGGAAGCAGTGAAAGCGGAGAAGGATGGCGCTGTTCTCTTGGGAAAAGCAGACTTTAGTAATGTTTCCTACCGCCTACGGAGGAAAGAATCGATAAATGTCAGCGACTATGAGGCCTTCATTTCAAGAATGTCAAAGTTCCAAGAGATCATGGAGACGTTGAAGGATGCTAATTTTAATTTGATTGGGGTGAGTGGGATGGGTGGTGTTGGAAAAACCACTCTAGTAAAAAAAATTGCTTGTCAAGCCTTGGAAGACAAGTTATTTGATAGAGTGGTTATAGCTGAAGTAACTCTGACCCCTGACCACAAAAAAATTCAAGATAAAATTGCTTATGATTTAGATATGCAATTTGGCCAGGAGAGTGAATTCGAGAGAGCTGGTCGACTGCGTGACAGATTGAAGAAAGAGAATAGGGTACTTGTGATATTAGATAATATCTGGGAAAAACTTGACTTGAAGGCTATTGGAATTCCCTTTGGGCATGTTGGTAAAGAAAGTCTTAAGCCTATTGGATTTCCTTCCAGTCATGATGGTCAAGAAAATGACAAGCCTAGAATTCCTTTTGAGTGTGATAAGCATGACGATAAAGAAAAAAGCAATGATCAAAGGCGGTGCAAGATATTAATGACATCTAGAAACCAACAAGCATTAGATGATATGAAAACGCAGAAGACTATCAGGATTGAAATTTTATCTAGTGAAGAAGCTCAGAATTTGTTCGGAAAGATAGTGGGCGATTTAGTAGAAAAACCTGATTTTCAATCTGTAGCAATTGAGATTGCTAAAAAATGTGCAGGTTTGCCATTGGCAATTGCAACAATTGGAAATGCATTGAAAAATAAGACTATTTATGAATGGAGAGATGTCTTGGATACGTTAAGAAGGTCTAATCTGAGATGGATTCATGGCATGGATGGAACTTTGTACTCTACACTAAAATTGAGTTACAATTATTTGAACAGTGAGGAAGCAAAGTTATTGTTTCAGCTTTGTGGTCTATTATCTAAAGGCTATCCCATACCCACTGAATTCTTGTTGACATGTGGTATGGGTATGGGCTTGTTTCAAGATGTTCATACAGTGGAAACAGGAAAGAATAGAGTCCGTGTTTTAGTTGAAAATCTTAAAGCTTCATGTTTGTTGATGGATGGTGATAGCTATGGTACTGTTAAAATGCATGATTTCATTCATAGTGTTGCTACATCAATTGCAGAGTCGGATAAGCTTATGTTTAATATTCAAAATGTCACTGGGTCGTTGAACGAAATGTTGGGGGGGAAATCCAAAAATTCAACTGCTATTTCTCTGCCTTCTGGAGTTATTGATGATGAACTTCCGGAAAAGTTGGAATTTCCAAAACTCGAGTTGTTTCTCGTGTATGCAAGATTCATCTTTACGAATTCCAGACCAGTTTTTTGAAGAAGTGAGACAACTGAAAGTCATGGAATTGCATGAAGTTCGTCTCCTATCACTACCTTCATCACTTGGTTGCTTAATGAACCTTCGAACATTGCGTTTGATTGGTTGTGAGCTGGGAGATATAGCAATAATTGGAGAGATGAAGAAATTAGAAATTCTTGGCTTTTGTCATTCGGATATTCAACAGTTGCCTCAAGAAATTGGGGAATTAACTCAGTTAAGGTTACTAAGTTTGACTGGTTGTCAAAAACTTAAAGTCATCGCTCCAAATGTCATTTCACGCTTGTCCCGACTAGAGGAATTATATATAGGGGACAGCTTTGTTCAATGGAATGTTGAAAGACTCAATAATCAAGGACCAAGTAATGCTAGTCTTGCTGAGTTAAAGCAATTGTCTCACCTGACCTCTTTAGACATACGTGTTCAAGATGCCAAGATTATGCCGCATGAAATTACGATCGTAGAGAAGTTGGAGAGCTTTAATATATTTATTGGACTTGTCTGGAACTTGTCCGGTAAGTGTGAAACCCAAAGGAGGATGTTGAAACTAAAGCTTGATAATAGCAATCATTTGGGGTATTCAATCAAAATTTTGTTGAAAAGAGCTGAAGATCTCTATCTAGATGAACTGGATGGCTTTAAAAATGTTCTTTATGAGCTTGATGGGGAGGGCTTCTCACAACTAAAGCTTCTGCATATCCAAAAGGCTCTTGACCTTTTATATATTGTTAATTCAGTGGAATGGGCTCCTTGTAAAATTGCCTTTCCCTTGTTAGAGTCATTATTTCTCTATGATTTGATTAATTTGGAGAAGATATGTCATGGCCAACTCTATGCAGAGTCTTTCAGCAAATTGAAAATCATCAAAATTAGAAAATGTGATAGACTAAAGTGTCTTTTCCCATTCTCCATGGCCAAAAATCTTTTGCACCTTCAAGAACTTGAAGTGACTCATTGCAAGAATGTAAGTGAGATTGTTGGTAAAGAAAGTGAATACCATCTCCACCAAGCTGAAAGGACTAGTAAGATTATTGAGTTTACTCAGCTGCATTCCATAATATTAAAATGTCTGCCGCGACTTGTGAGTTTTGACTTCAACATGAAGGCACCTTTAATATCACAGACTTCATTAGCAACTAATTCGTGTTCCAAAGAAATCATTGAAGAGGACGAACCAGAGGATTCCATGGCTCTTTTCAGTCCAAAGGTATGTTTTCTTTTCTCACTTCAACCCCACCCAGTAATGCAAAAAAGTCTTAAATTAGTTTCGTAATTGTTTATGTTACAAGAATTTTACTGGCTGTAGGTTGTTTTACCAAGAGTGAAGCACTTGCAATTATCCTTCATCAACATTACAAATATATGGCTTGATCAACCCTCGGAAATGTCCCAAAGTTTAACAAGCTTAACTGTGGAGGAATGTATTAATTTGAAATTTTTGTTTTCATCTTCTGTGGTTAGAAGTCTTATGCAACTCCAGAAGCTTGTGATAAGCAACTGTAAGTCAATGGAAGGAGTGATTGACACAGAAGGTGTAGGAGGGGAAAAAAATATGACTTTTCCTAAACTATTTTACATGGTGCTCGAAGGTCTGCCAAAACTAACAAGAGTTGGCACTGGAGATTTTGTTGAATTCCCCTCATTAAATGAACTTGTGATTGAGAGTTGCCCTAATTTGAAGACATTCTTCTCCGGCTCTTCATGTGTGGATGCAGATATAGTAACTGAAAAACCTGAAGAAATAATCTTGGAGAACTTCCCCACTGATATACATTTTCTCTTTGATGAAAAGGTGACTTTTTCTTTCCCCTCCTTTTTGCAATCCCTTTATCATTTGATTAAGTTTGACTTTGTCTTCTAACATTAGCGGAGGCAGGGAAACATGCTAACCCAACCCTTTTTTTTTTTTTTGGCATTTAATAAAAAAACAAATTTTAATAAGATTATATAAAATAAAATCTAGCCTCCTTCAGGTTTTGAAAATAATATTACTTAAATAATCGTTAAAAGCCACTGAACTCAATCTCCATATACACTACTAGAGTATTTTAGTATAGTCAAATTTCTACTTTCAAGTAATTGGTTGTCTGTCTTTATTCTATATATACTACATTCATTTAATTATTTTCATATGCTGTGTAAAGTAATTAGTTACCCTGACTCAATACTTTGAATATCTTTCTAATCTTCTGCTTGTTTGTCTTATGCCCAATCATTGACATGATGGATGATGCAGGTTGCATTTCCAAGCTGGAAATCTTGATACTCTCTCGGTTGAATAACTTACAGTTGATATGGAACAATCAACTCCATGAAGATTCTTTTCGCACACTAAAATTTTGACATTCAATTCTGTGGAAATTAATGTCTATTGTTCCATCAAATATTCAAGGTCTTTTAACCTTCAAACTAGAGGGATTAGTTGTTGACAACTGTTGAGTATGAAAAATCTCTTTCCAGTTTCTGTAGCTAACAATCTGTGCAACTTGAAAGCTGAGACTTCGTTGTTGCGGTTTGGAGGAAATAGTCCTTCGAGGAAGTAGATGGGGTACTCGCATTTGTCTTCCTCACTAAAATCTGTGCATCTTGCTCATCTACCAGAACTCAAATGTTTCTACCAGGGTTGCATACTTGGAGTGGCCCATGCTAAAAGTTTGGTTGTTTATCATTGCCATAACATAAAGATCGTGCTTCAGGGTCTCCTAGCTTCCAGAAAGAAGATGAGGAGAGACAACTTGGAAACCCATTTCGACAACCCCTGTTTTTGCTTGAAAAGGTCTGCCTTAGTATCCTATATGAGCTTCAACATATAATTAACCAGATGCAGTATGTAAACTTTCTTGGTAAAACTTTAGTCACTTGAAAATGGAAAAAAATCATTCACATGAGGTCTGTTTCTGATCTTGTCTATAACGTGCATTTTAACTGTATGGTCATGGTTCGCATTTGGTCTTAATGATGTCAGAATTTTATGGCTAGTGAAAGCTTTCTTTTCTCTTATAATTTAAGCAGGATAAAAAAAAAGTAAGTCAAGCAGGGAAAAAAGAAAAATAATAACAACAATCTGTCAGAGTGAAAAAGAAAATAGAAAACATCTCTTTATTTATTGATTTCTTAATTTTAAGATTCTATTTTCAAACCATAATTTGAAAATTAATTTCTTTTATGATAAATTAGTTATTAAAAGGTAGAAATAAAAAAGAAATCACTCTTAATGTGTCCATATTCTGTCATAAGAGCTGACTTGGTTTTTTTCTTGTTTGCAAATTGTGTGGTTGTGAACATTAATGAGTCAAAACACAATGTAATCTTTAAATAGGAGGTATGTAAAGTTGGGAACCCAGCTGATGTGGGTGGTGATCTGTTGACACCATATTAATTGTAGAATTTTGTGGGTGTTGTTTTTCCTAGAACTGATGTGGTGCTAACACTTCTGTAACCCCATTAGTTGTGATTCAAACTTTGGATACATAACATCAATCATCTTAAAATTGATATACTTAAGATTTACTTTCAAGTTTGTCATAAGGAAATTTTTATCATTTTATATTTGTGATAAATGAGTCAGTGAATATCATATTTTTCAATATAGTTATATAATAACAAAAATGCAACAATATTACAAGGGACCATAATACAGAGATTGAAACTTCATCAAGACTATCATATTATTATATTAAAAAAAAGACTGATATATATATATATATATACACTAATCGAGTGGCTATTAACACTGATTGCTATTGTTTATTGATATTTAGGTCATATGTGCGATGGAGTTTTTGACATTAAACAGCGATGACGTTAAATTAATATGCATGGGCAATTTTCCAGCAGAGATGTTTTGCAAAGTTAGAGATCTTCAGTTATTCTGCTTTCATGATGAATCAGCTGATTTTCCATTTGCTTTCCTTCAAAGATTCTACAACATGCGAAGACTGGTGATATTTTGTGGTAATTTTGAAGAGCTGTTCCCAGGTGAAGGACTTGATGAGAATAAACATGTGCGACTCATGCCAATAACAACCTTAAGGCTGCATTATCTTCGAAGTCTAAGGCAAATCTGGAAACAAGATTCTCAGGCGGACCCATTTCTTCAACATCTTGAAATTCTAGAAGTATGGGAATGTGATAGTTTGACATACTTAATGCCACAACTCACAATATCCATTCAACCAAGGACCAACCAAACAATATGAACAATATACCAACTCAAATAAGAGCAAAACAATAAACATTAGCTACGTACCTCAAGTGGGGCATTACATTTATAAAGAAACTTGGGTACTAGGTTAGCATTTAGTACAACATACCATCCTCAGACAGATGGCCAAACTAAGAGAACGAATCAAGTACTTGAGGACATGCTGAAAATGTGTTGTACGGATTATAGAATGACCTAGGATGAGATATTACCATTGGTGGAGTTTGGTTATAATAACAATTATCAGTCTACAATTAAGATGGCTCCTTATGAAGCCCTGTATGATAGACGATATAGATCTCCATTGCATTAGAATGAGGTAGGAGAGAATGATGCTTTGAATACAACTCTTGGGCTGAAGATAACTCAGAAAATGATAAAAGATATCAAGTTGATTAGAAAGAATTTCTTCAAATATTTTTAAATGTTTTAAATGTTGATCTATTGATTCTGAATAAACTAAGACATCATCAATATATACTATTGTAAAGTGTATATCGGGATTAAAGATATCATTCATAATATTTTGAAATTCTGAAGGTGCATTTTTTAATCTGAAAGGCATAACATTCCATTCATATTGACCAAAAGGAACATTAAATGTCATTTTGCATCTATCTAATTCATCTATTTGAACTTGCCAAAATCCTAACTTCATATCAAATTTTGAAAATATTGTTGCATTATATAATCTATTAATTAAATCTTTTTGTTGGGAATC